CGTCGTATCAATCGACCAAATGTCAGGATTAACATAAATTATGTCTTTTCCATTGATGATCAGTAGGTGAGTTACAATTTCGTGAATTTCGTGAATGAATGAATAAATCCATTTTCCAAAAAATTGGCAGGAATTTAATGTGGATATTAAAATGTGAAATAATCGATCATAAATACATGCGTCAGGTCAACAATTTGAATTTGAAATCTAGAAGTGACCTAAACTAACAGTGTGTCACTATCACTCAGTGTTTTCGTTATCTTAAAACTCAAATATGTTTTTATTTGTAAGTAACCTTATTACTTGACACTTTCACTACAATGATACATTATTTATATCTTGTCTAATTCTAGGAAATGCCAATAATTACGTTGCGAATTTCGGCGGAAAACCTTAAAATATTCCAATGACGTGTATCTCACCAAGATAAAGACGAATGACTCGATCATTATATATAACAGTTATAGTTGTCAGCGAAATAACGAATACACTAGGATTCAAAGAACGACTGATGTTTACCATATCATCTTAGAATGTAATCACCATCAAATACCTGTAAATTAACTGAACTCATTCTGATGTTTACTATATTCGTTTTCATATTGTCAGTCGGATGCCTACCATGGTCTTCGAACGGCCTAACGAATCATCAGTAGTGAAAATAATACTGACAATAATGGAGTGCTCAACACTAATTAACAGTTTACCTTCTGGTGTCCAACTGAAAGTTGATTCTGGTTAACTCTTGGACAGACATTTAGATTCGAGGGTAGTGAGAAATCCTCACTATCAAAGCTACTAAGGATATTTAGATAATCATATTCAAAGTGAAATCTAGTCCGTGTTAATTTTGATTGTATTCGAAATGTAAACTTTGATTTGTATATCTGTTACTAACTACACTTAAATTAGTTACTAATTTTTTCTGTTGTTTGTCACAAAATTTTGTGTAACTACGTTTCATGAAGTTTTTAAGTTTTTGATCGAAACTACTTAATGCATTCCATTAGATTACCATTAACAACTCGAAAATTGGTTTTAATGCATTTTACCATAATTGTATAAAGGATCAAGCATGTTTATTTTCAATTTTTATTTAAGAAAACAATCCCGACACAGTTTTATCTGAACACAGTGTACAACAGAACACTTACTATTGTGTAGACTTACGCAATAAAAAATTCGATTGATAGTGCATAATGGGCCGTAATCCACTCTCACATAACTGAAGAAAATAATTAAAAATAATTAATTTTATGATTTGTTTGTACATATTAGAGGAGTAATGGGGTGTGTTACCGATTGAATCGGTAAGCACAAAAGTCATGCTAATGGTGAACAGAAATTTATTTTTTGGTATGGCGTCAACGGAACAACGATACAGTCGATTGCAGAAAAAGTGTGAACCAAATGTTCTCTCTTATTTAAACTGTAATAATTAATATAGACATAATCTCGAGATAGAATCATTATGAAATAATTTGGAGTTTCAACTTTCTAGGCATATGTTTACGTTAAAAGCAATGAAATCTTGTTTCACTTTAACCATGAACTGAACAACGTAAAACCACCATTCAAAATCTGAATTACCATTTCTCCCCAGTATGGGACTCCTCAACAGTTCGCTTTATGTGTACTGCTTTCACGTTTTCAATGATGGTCTAACATTGATCAGTTCATGATTTTAATGAAATTCATAAATATCTACAACCATATACTGACATCTAAATTATGTGGTACACGTCATTTTAAAGACGTGTATATGTGGTCATAGACAAGCAAACTTCTATCACTATTTTATCACATCAACTAGTTTATCACTTTCTCAGTTATTTCATAACAACATTCTGTTAATGTTTGAAATCAGATAACTTTTAATGTTTATCTATGTACTCATGTTTAAGTAGAGTAAAAGTGATTATTTTCATGTTTAGAAAATGCTAATTAGAGAGAAGTAATTCTTTTTTAACTCCATCTTTTTCATTATGACTGTACATTGTTTTACATTTTTACCCGATCAGTTCCCTTAACAAATTTAAATGAAGCAAGAACTAAATTAAATGGATGATTTCATGAATTCATCATTGCATTTTACTGCTTCCTCTTCCTCTGTATGAATGAACTGGTTTGGTGGTCTTCAATTATTGACGTAATTTGAAATGTGAAAAAATGAATTGCTCTGAGGTAAAAAATGGGCCGAATCAAGCATAAAATTACTGACTGATAAGTAGTCTTAATCGGTGTACTCATAGATTGTTTTACTATTTATTGCCTTGTGAATGTAAAGTGATAAATAACTTTCAGGAAAAGTACGAATATTTAGCGCATACAATTACAATGAAAATCATGTCAAACGTAAGTATTCAGCTCCAGCTGTTCAATTAAATCCATTTCTCGATTTACCAGTATAATTCTTATCTAGATCTCTTGAGTTTTTTTCTCATAATTTCACACAATTCACTTTCGATAACTGAAAGTAAGTGTGTACATTTATGGGACGCTAGTCTAGTTACAGTAACTCCGCCTGTAGCTCTTCTAGAGTTACTGCCGGTCCCAAGTCCGGGTAAAGGAGGAGGGTTGAGCATGGGGTCAGCGTCCCCATCCCGTAGGAAACTAACTCGCTAAAAAAACGCTTACCAGAAAAAATAATCCAAACCATTTTAACTCTGCTCTGGGAGTCAGAAGGTCTTCATTTAGAAGAATTATTACACCTCATGGTGAAAGCCGAGTTCCTTAGGAAGCCACAATGCCGATGCCCCTTCTAACAACCAGAGCAAAAATTTTTATAGGTACATGGAACGTCCGAACAATGTGGGAGACCGGGAAGACCAGTCAAATAGCAACGGAAATGAGGAGATACAATTTGGCAGTACTGGGAATCAGCGAAACCCACTGGACCTAAGGTGGACAGAAAAGGCTGGCTACGGGAGAGATGCTGCTATACTCCGGTCACGAAGAGGAAAATGCTCCACACACTCAGGGAGTCGCTCTAATGCTGTCCAAAGTAGCACGAAATGCACTTATACGATGGGAATCTCACGGATCCAGAATCATCAAAGCATCATTCAAAACAAAGAAGGAGGGGACCACAATGAATATTATCCAATGTTATGCATCCACCAATGATAGCAACGACGACATTAAAGATCAATTCTACGAGCGGCTGCAGTCAATCATAGAGAAATGCCCAAGAAAGGACCTCACCATTCTAATGGGAGATCTAAATGCCAAAGTCGGAGGGGGCTCAATATTTCTACACAAACGTATACACAAGGCTACATGGATCTCACCGGACCACACTACACAGAACCAGATAGATCATATTCGCATCAACAAAAAAATTCGAAGGACAATGGAAGATGTCAGAACCAGGAGAGGTTCTGACATAGCTTCAGATTACCACCTAGTCGTAGCCAATTTAAAACTGAAGCTAAAAAAGAACTGGACAACTGGACAAACAGCAGTACAAAGGTTCAATACAGCCTTCCTTCGAGATACTGACAGACTCAATGAATTCAAGATACCTCTCAACAACAGGTTTCACGCCTTACAGGATCTAATGAAGGAAGATTAAACTACTATGGAGGACAACTGGAAAGGCATCAAAGAAGCATTAACTTCAACGTGTCAAGAGGTTCTGGGCCTAAAGAAACACCATCATAAGGAATGGATCTCTATAGAAACTCTGGACAAGATCAAAGAAAGGAAGAACAAGAAGACAGCAATTAACAACAACCAAACGCAAGCAGAGAAAGTCCAAACACAAGCTGAATACATAGAAGCAAACAAACAAGTGAAGAGGAGCATTAGAACCAACAAGACGAAGTACGTGGAAGAAGCCGATCACTGAAATTCAACAACAGCGGAACAGATGGGTAGAATACTTCGAGGAACTCCTGAATAGGCCGGGTCCAATGAATCCACCGGACATCGAAGCAGCACACACAGATCTTCCCATAGACGTCAACCCACCAACGACGGATGAAATCAGAATGGCCGTCAGACAAATCAAGAACGGGAAAGCAGCGGGACCCGACAACATACTAGCTGAAGCACTGAAGTCAGACATCGAAGTAACTACAAACATGCTTTACCTTCTATTCAAAAAAATTTGGGAGGAGGAGCAAATGCCGATGGACTGGAAAGAAGGGCACCTCGTCAAGATTCCAAAGAAAGGAGATCTGAGCAAATGTGAAAACTACAGAGGCATTACACTACTGTCAATACCAGGGAAGGTCTTCAACAGAGTGTTGCTGAACCGGATGAAAGATGCAGTAGACGCCCAAATTCGATATCAACAAGTCGGATTCCGTAAGGATTGATCGTGCACAGACCGAATTGCAACACTACGGATCATCGTCGAACAATCTGTTGAGCGGAACTCGTCACTATACATCAACTTCATTGATTATGAAAAGGTATTTGACAGTGTGGATAGGAGGACGTTATGGAAACCTCTTCGACACTACGGAGTTCCTGAGAAGATTGTCAATATTATCCGGAACTCATACAACAACTGAGCTGAAACTTGGAAAACTACAACAACCACCATCAAGAAGGCACAAGTATTTATAAATAGCTGTCTTCGCAAGATACTTAACATTCATTGGCCGGATACCATCAGCAAAAGCCTTTTGTGGGAGAGAACAAATCAGCTTCCAGCTGAAGAAGAAATTAGAAAAAGACGATGGAAATGGATAGGACATACATTACGAAAATCATCAAACTGCATCACGAGGCAAGCCCTAACTTGGAATCTTGAAGGGAAGCGGAAAAGAGGAAGGCCAAAGAACACATTATGTCGGATAATAGAAGCAGATATGAAAAGGATGAATAACAACTGGAAGCAGCTGGAAAGGATTGCCCAGGACAGGATTGGATGGAGAATGCTGGTGAGCGGCCTATACTCCTTCACGAGGAGTAACAGGCGTAAGTAAGTAAGTAAGTCTAGTTACAGTAGCATATAAAACAATTAATGAACAACGTAGAATTTAATCAGTTTAAACTAACCTACGTTCAGATGTCAAATTTATAGAGAATGAGGTTGAGAACCGCACATCTGAACCACTTTTAGATACAACTACATTTGTGACATTAAGAGCTGCAACACCATTCACAATTCTGTTGATCCAATACGTAAAGAATGAACAACGTCTTTCAACCGGACACATATTGAAATTAAACTCAAACGGTCCTCCAGTACACATTTGTTTATATACATCAGTGGCACTTGGAGAAATTAAAGTCCAAGTATTTGTAAGAGTTGTAGTAAATGCCTATGTTTAAAAAATATCAAGACTGAAATCACTACGTTGTATGAAAAGAGTTACACAATTAGCAATAAAATGTTTTATAATCCCGAATTTAAAAATTGCTTGGCAAAATCACAAATTAATATAGATTTTCCTCACTCATACAATTATGTACTGTACTTATTCAATAATATGTTTCTCATCTTAGTATCGGAAAAAGAGATATTCCATGCATAACATGTTTAATTTCAACAAAAACATAAGATTAATGTATTCATAGATGTATATTCAACTGATATTTTAGATTAACATAAACATGAATGTCAATTACTTACAATTAATTAAAATCATAAACCGATCGATGTTATATAACAATTGTAAACCTGTGAGCATTGGACAGCCATTCGGTCCTAGTATGGGACTCGTCAGCAGTGCGTACCCACGATTAATGTATAACTCCAATCAATACATGATTTTGCGCGACCATCTTTCATCGTATTCTGTGAGTAACTGTCTCACACTTGAGACGATTAGACATTAACATTTGTAATGTCCCAATGAATAGAAAAATTAGATTTTCTGACGTTTCGTGGCTTAGTATAAGTCACTTGTTCAGAGAATAAATAATCAATTGGATTAATTTTAATTTGGTTATTTATTCTCTGAAGAAGTGACTTACACTAAGCCACGAAACGTCAGAAAATCTAATTTTCTACTCATTGGGATATTACAAATGTACTATTTATTTATAACAATCCAACCAATGCTCACTTTATTCGAAATTATCAAATCAAACCTTGGTAATGATACGTACAGACATTAACATTGTTGTTGCTCTGTGGTTTGGAGGATGATTGTTCTCACGCGAGACAGAAAGCACTATGTTCGAGTCCTGCGTGCGAGATCATGGAGACGCACTGCTGAGGAGTCGAGTACTAGGATGAAACGGCTATCCAGTGCCTACATGTTTTCAATTGTGGGCTAACATCGATCGGTTAATAATATCGATAAAAACTCAACAATCTCCACGACCTTATACTGATAATTACAATTAGTTAGGAAATAGTGTCATGTTTTTTTAGTAAATAAATCCTAATTAAAACCATCTTTCAAACCAATGAAAATTATATGAAATTTCGGTTACAATCTCATTAATGAACTTAAGTTAATATGTCATTTTTCAATGTCATTCTTTGTCAAGTATATCCTCTAAAACCTGGAAATTGTTTTCATATCTTTCTTCAGATGGAAAAATTCAATGTCATTATTTTCAAAACCATTAACATCATCTACATGAATGGAATATAAGCGGAGATACAAAGTGTTTTTTTAACGAATGTCATTAGGTGTCAAGTATACTTTAATAGTGGTTTCAAATGTATTACCAATTAATTGTTTGCGATAACATTTTACTTTCATGAACATATACTTTACAACTACGGAATGGCTAATCCTTGTGATCCCACTATTTTCACGTCATATAGATCAAAACTAAAGTTCAATAAGTAGACAGTATACAGTTTCATATCAATAATGGGTTTAAGTAAAGTGACCCAATTTAAATGAGCCACTTATGAAGAAAATAGAGCTTAACTTTTTTCCAATTTCTTGCTTTGACATCGTTTTCTTTCGTCGACTCATTAGTATTGTAGTAATTGATGTTAGAAAATTGCTATATATAATAGAACACTTCAATCTGATGCAAAACTGTTATTGAAAATTACGGACTAGTAAGAAGATTGAAAGATACGTTTATTTCACTTCATTAAAAATCTTGAAGGTAAATGACATGAGTAAACTTCTGTTTCCTAAAGTGATACTTACTAATATTCTGATACACTGAATTAATTATCTTATTGTAGAAAATTCAGACAACTAGGTAGAATTTATTTGTATCGATTATCAGTTAAAGTCCATTTAACTCACTTTATATGAAGTTATAGTTAATACATTCATGGTTTTCAAGCTGTGACTTTCAGGAGAACTCAAAACTATGTTGCATCAGTGTTTCATATGTACGATTCGTTTAAACTTTGATATCATTCATCTTACAAATATGATTAATCTCATAGAGTAACCCTGGGCAGTAACTATAATGGTCGGCAATCAAACCTTGCCAACGAAACGCTTTAGCAACATTTCCTTTGACGAACAAGTTTATCATAGCAACATAGCCTATTTGTCTCTGTTTCACAAAACCAATGGACTGATTTTATGAAATAATAACTTTTATGATACAATATTCTCTTTTTCTCGTTTTTCTTATAACTGGTATAATCCACATGTTTTCAATCAAGACTTTAGTTAGGCTTTAGACATCTAATATTAACCGCTATTTCGCAGTCTCATAAGAGACTAAAAATAGAAAAAGCATTAAGCTGTCAAGATTACTCACCCATCCCAAACATGAGTAAAGCTTTATTAATTAATGATCACTGAATGGAGAAACTGTAGACGATTATTATAATGGATTACTGGAACTGAGAAACAACAAGTGTTTAGTACTAACTTAGACAACATTTCCACTGTTTCAACGATTAGTAAGTTCGAGTATTTACGGAAAATGATGATGGTTTTTAGAATACTAGATGCCATTTGCGAACCATTTCTTAAGCCAATGACTTATCACTGTGACAGTGATTGAATTTTCATCACTATAACAAGAATAAAAACTTAAGATAGTTCTTCAAAAAGAAAAACCCTAGTGGTAGAACGGCATCAGAATGGAGTGGATTATTGTTCATGTGAAGGTCAATGTATGTTAAACTACTGAAGCCAGAAGTCTTCATGAGTAACCCTTCCTGTTACAAATTAGTCCATTTGTGAGGAAACTAGGTAAAACCACTTGATTAAGGACTGATCGTGTACAGTTTGGAGAACAATCTTAGGTTTCCCGAAGTAACAAATTAAGTTCATATGTAAGACATTTCACACTTCTGACGTTTCATTACGATCTATTAACATTACTTCATTTGGAATTGTTTTTTCGAACGTTTCTATTGATGTTTAGGACTGCAATTGATCAGTCTCTTGTTGACATATGTGCATCCTGTACGGATTGTCTCGATATTGCCTTAATTCACAAGCATTATAAGTAAAGATGTGTGTTGGCTGGCAGTGGGATCCAGGACGTGTGTTTGGTACACGTCAGTTGGATGTAAATGCATCCCATATTAGATGCAGATACATTCAGCTGACGTGTGCCAAACAGAACTAAAAGCGCGTCCTGGATTCTAATGCTAGCCACCATCCATCTTTGCTTATTAACCTTGCCATTAAAATATTCAACATAATTATATTCTAGGCACAATTCACAGAGTTGTTATGGCTATGACTTAAAAACATACATTTTTAGTTCAGCAATAAGACAAACTGTCTAGAACCTGTATATTTATGAGTAAACATTTGAGACGAGTCATTGCTCAAGTCTTCCTTGTGAAACTAAGAAGAACAAAATTACGGCATTGTATGCATGACGTGATGATGATGATAATTTCATTGCGAGATAAAATAATAGAAATATTCTATTGAAATGTTAAAGTAGAGCTCAATTTAATATGGAAGCGACAACTGAGAATGTAAGAAAATGATTTAGCGTAATATCGGCGTATTCTGCTCAAATTATTGATAAACCTGTTAAACTTGTCACAATGTTGTCATGGAAAACAATGATTATCCTCTGACGGATGGTTTATGTTTTATTCTCATATATGTTATTAACTTGAGCTAATTAGACTTATTACCTTGCATTTAGCTGAGGTGAAAAACGAAATACAATTCATATTATATTCTGCCAGTTATAAATTGAACCGAACGAACAGCAGAAAAGCTTAATAACCGAATTATCGGCCATTTGAGAAGATCCTCTAGTGTGAATAACGATTTTACGCCAGAATTCGGTACTGATTGTGTTTGACGAACTATCAACATCTAATTACAACCACAGGTAAGTGGTATCCTCAAATCTGTCTTTTCTTAAAAGACCTCAATAAAACTACAATATCCATCGATAACATGGATAAAAGTTTTATCGAGTCTACGTAATCTAAACATCAGGGTCATGCTTGAAAATAACACTTTAACCATTAGTATTGTATACGGATTCCATTAAATAATGTACATACGTCAAGTAACAAAATTATCTTAATGTAATTTGAAGCAAGTTGAATGAAAATGTGTACTCTGACTTACTGCTGGAGTAGTGGTAATAAATATGAAGCTCCCAAATATAGAGATTGAATTGACTGTCAGATTGTAAGTGAAATTGACCAGTGGTCTGACAGAATTCGCAGTGAACATTGGGATATAGTAAGTCAACTGATTTGCTGCCGAAGTCGTTTGATCGGTTGTAATTCCTATAAACGTAAAATATAAATTGACAGTCTGATTTCCTAATGAGGCGAATTTGAACGCTTGAATTTTGACAACTATCAATTTATTATATCTACGTGCATCTACACAAGAGAACGTAGTTCTTATGGGATCGACGAACGACAATTTCATACGAAATGGATATTAATAAACTGAACCTACTACAAACATAACGTTCTTGAAGATTTTTCAATCAGCTGAAGGAATATTTGTTTGAAAGTGTTCAGATTGTTTGATTGTAAAATCAAATATTGATATTTTAGATGATCAATTAGTAATGTATAGGTATATTAAATACTGTGCTAGGTTGTAACATATCCACGAGGTTTCAAGAACGTTCGATAAACGAAGGAATACCTCGTCAACTAATCTACTTTCAACTATGCACCAGCACGTATGCATGCAAAATTATCAATCTAGAAACAATTAGTACCTGAAGTTAGATTTCACATTTAGATTTTAAAGTGGGTATACAGTAAGGATATGCAGAATTTATCAAAACATATATGGAAGTAAAGTATCATAATTGTCAGAACAGATAATAATAATAAGTAAAATAACATGAGGAAATAAAAAAGTTTGTGCAAGCATTATGTAAAAAAAATAACATTGAGTTGAATATTAAGAAGATGGATATCATTTACTAAATTAGCTGGACGATCTCAAATAGGTACTTAATTACTTGCTTACTAACTCCTGTTACCCCTAGTGTTGGAGCATAGGCCACCCACCAGTATCTTACGTAGACAATTGTTTATAATTACTTGTAGTAGTTTTCCAAGTTTCAGCTCAGTACAACAGAACAAACTTTTTTGACATTCGCATTGAACATTGTGTGTTTGGTATTGACTGAGAGTTGCTTTGAGTTATACATGTTCTTCAGTTGTAGGAATGTTATCCTTACTTTGCCAATCCTCACCTTTACGTCTGCATCCGATCCTCCATGTTCATCGATGATGCTCCCCAAGTACGTGAGAGAGTAAGCAGCCTTGCCTTACTCCGTTCCTCAATTGTGATGCATCTGTCAGCTGCCATACGTGCACCACTTTGCACTGTAGCTCATCGGATGAATTCCGTATGATATAGACGATCTTGTCAAGTACACCATAGTTTTGAAGAAGTTTACATAAAGTCCTCCTATCCACAATGTCGAACACTTTCTCATAGTCAAGGAAGTATATATATAGTGACGAGTTCCATTTAATTGATTGCTCAACGATGATCCGTAGTGTTGCGATTTGGTTTGTACACGACCTATTCTTGAGAATCCAGTCTGTGGATCTCGAAGTTGAGCGTCCACTGAACTCCTTATTCGGTCCAGCAACACTGTTGAAAACGCTTCCTGGTACCGATAAAAGTGCGATGCCTCTATAATTTTCGCATTTTCTCAGATCTCCATTCTTTGTATGTTGATGAGGTGTCATTCTTTCCAGTATGTCAATGGCACTTGTTCCTCCTCCAAAATCTTCCTGAAGAGAATGTGGCACATGTTTGCAGTAACTTCTATGTCTATAGGAAGTTTTGTGTGTGCTGTTTCAATGTCCATTGGATTAAGTGGGGCTGGCTTACACGAAAGTTTCTCAAAGTGTTCTACCCATCTGTTCCTCCGATCTCAAGTCTCGGTGATTTTCTTGCTACTCTTAAAACTGTTCTTTATCGTCCTCATTGCTATCATTGGTGGGTGCATAACACTGGATAATATTCATTGTGATTTCTTCCTTCTTGTTTTGAAGGATGCTTTGATGGATCTGGATCCATGAAATTCCCATCCTATAAGTTCATTTCATGCTTCACTGAACAGCAACAATGCAACTCCCTGAGTGTGAAGAGAATTTCCCTCTTCATGATCAGAGTATAGCAGCATCTCATCCGTATCTATCTTCTTCTGTGCGGATTGGATCCAGTGGGCTTCACTGATTTCGAGCACCGTCAAGTTGTATTTCTCCATTTCCACAGCTATTTGAATAGTCTTCTCGGTCTCCCACATTATCCGGACGTTCTGTGTACCTATAAAAGTTGTTGTTGTGGTTGTTAGAATGAGCATCGGTCTCACGACTTCCGAAGAATCTCGGCCTTCACCACTAGGCTTCATAGTTCTTCTGAATGAAGATACTTCAACTCGGAGAGCAGAGTTATATTGCTTTAATTTGTGTATTCTGATTAGCGTTTGTTTTCACAAGGTTGTTTTCTACGGGATTAGGTTGCTGACAATGACTAGTCAATACAGTTATTGTTACAAATAAAACAGAAGTGGTATGAAGTTTCTCAAGAACGTTCACTTTAAGTACTGACTAGAACTGAGTCTATTATATCAGTCTTATGACTGATCATCATTATTTCAAATAAACTATTGCTATATTCAACCAGGTAAGAAAATCTTTTAAGATTACTTAATGTAGGCTAGTATAATTACTTTTCAGTTGGGATAATTCAAACTAATCTCGATATAGAAATGTCAGTGGGTATATCAATTAATTCTTTCTGGATAAATTTCAAACTAGCAGAGCATTGTAAACTGCAAGCTTAATACTACCGTGTTCGTAAATTCACAGTTTGATTAAGAGAGTGTGACAAAATTATTTTCTGAGTTCCACAGATATTGATGGTTTTTGGAACTTAGATGAATTTTGTTCTCTTTGGAACAATAAATTTAAGGAATGGTAGACTTGATCGTAGACACTAATTACAATTAAGAATACGGTCAAATGATTAACGATGGAGATTTTTTTTCACAGAAATATCTATATAAGTGTTTCAAAGAAAAGAGTAGACATAGGAAATTATCTTGATTTACTGGCGAACCGTTACTAATTTCTTGGAATTCTTGAACTGAGTTGAAATCGATTTACTTTCACTGGATTATTTAACGGAGGGAAACACGTTCTGCAGATTAAATATTTCAATGTCTTGATAAATGTAGTTGATCTGTTTATTATCAATCAAAAATTAAAATTTTATGGGGAAATGATTCAATGCATATGGTTCAAATGAAACGGTAAGCTGAATAGATTAACACTCAACGAAACAATCTACATCGATTGTTTTGATGAAATCATAGCGAGATTAAGGAGGATTAATATGACAATGCAACCACGTAGATAAGAGTGTGCATATGTAGTTAGAACAAAAAATGTGTACATTATTGAATTTGTAATAAAACCCTATTAACTGACGAGAAATTAGTTTGAAGACTGCCGCGACATTATTCGGTGGCTTTATTGAATACAGAAAAAAAGATTCATCTATAAACTCGTTTCTTAATAAGAGATAGTGTATTAGTAATCATATCAATACTGAACACTATAAGTAAAACAGTGCAGTAAATGTTAACAAACCTTCGTAATAAGCTTTATCTATACTGATATAAACCATATTTTCCAAAGAGTCCGAAACTGAGTTGACATATGGCAATGATGTTGATTGGCTTAGCATTATTGGCTTGACAAATATGTATTCTTGGTAGGCACCTGGAGCATAAAGTTGAAAATATATCGACTGCCATACATTGGGTTTCAGAGTTAGCGTTAACTTCAGTGATGTTAAATAGTTCGGTATAACTTGATTTTTGACTGTTTTTGAATCAATAGAAATTAGATCAACTCCTGGAGCCTGACTTGATGACTTAAAAAATTAATAAATGAAAATTCCTCTTATACTCTGTAAAAGTTTAAATAAAATGTGTTATGAACTAAACACTTACAACTTACCCCTATAATCACGAATTAATAAACTCGATAAAATTACAATGCTCTTCAGTGGTTTCATTCAAGATGAATTTTAGAATTTCCTGATGGATCCATTAACCTGTCATGTAAGTCAATCAGAGAGTCAGGTTTGGTGTTCAAATCGAAAGTAAATCTTGATAGGATTAATCTACGAGGTGATTTAATGAAGAATATTATAAATTAACGAATTTTCACTAATAATTTAGTAACATAGTGTGTATCATAAATGCTAGGTATCCAGTATTCAATATTACTCTGCTTTTGCTGGTTACTGAATCATCATACATGAAAGTCGTCTTCAAATTTATCAAATTTTACAACACAACGAAGTCAACAACGTGTTCGAACATCACTTCAACCTGTGTATGTATGACACGTTGCAAAAATCATACTTGTTCTAACCAGTTATCAATATTTGTGTAAACCTAAATAACAGCCAGTGGTTTAAGGTAGGGTAACTAACTCTGAAGTAAAGTATAAAGTAAAATTCAATGTAACAAAATATTGTTTGAAGTCATACCAACACAGTAGAGTAGTTAGCTCGTGGAGTAATAGTTAACGTTTTCGTAAAACTGGATACACCAGAGGTAAATGTTGATGTGATTATCAAAGGCTTTGTGGTGATTGGAATTATCGAATAACGCATTGCAATATCACACTGAGCATCTGTACATGATTCATTGAAATACACTGAATTTATTTGCAATGTAGCCAAATTACTTTGGTAATCGGGAAAAGAAAATTAAAAGAAAAAGAAGAAAGATTTGTTGATATTTGTTAGAATTAGAGAAATACTGTAGTGCATCTTCTGATTTAAAATTCATAGAAGGGATCATTACCGATGAAGCCCAACTTCAAACTGAGATATGAATAAATTAATGATTTCAAATTATCATAATTAATTACTATAAAACAAAATTAATGAGAGGCGTTAAGTGGAATTAATGAAACTTCCAATGGTGTGAATTTTCTTTCTTGTTAATTGACTTAAAAATAGTTCAGTATGAAATCATTTTTATAATGGTTATTAGGGATGAGTTGTTGTTTCACTGAAATATTTTGATAATCACAGTAAGTTAGTGAGTAGAAAGTGCATAATTTCACCACATTCATGAGTGTTTTGCCTAGTGTGAACAACAAATATAGAAGTGGTTATTGAAGCTGGTTAGGTTCAATTTTCATTTTATTCATGGTTTATCGAAATGATAGTAATAACAGGTTTATAAGCAAAGATGAATAGTGGCTAGCAGTGGAATCCAAAACGTGCGTTTCGTCCGATTTGGGACTCGTCAGCCGGATGTACCTGCATCTTAGATGTGATGTTCACTCTTTGACTCTAACCCATTGCCGTTCGCTCCAAACGCCATCGTGTTATCCACTTAGCTACTGAGTCCTCAATAGAACGAAACGCGCGTCCTGGATACCACTGCTAGCCACTATCCATCTTTGCTTATTATGCTTATGAATTATGACAACAGCAAGACAATACGCACAGTGTGCACATATGCCATTAAAAGACTGATCAATTGCAATCCCACACATCAATGGGAAGATTCAAGGAAACAATACCAAGTGAATAATAGGACATTTTACTCAATTAACTTTTGAGAAACACTTAGTATACAATCGGCTACGCATATTGTTAAGGATTGTGATAAGGCACATTATGTAATAATGAAAATAATAATGTTGATACATCAAACGGGTTTGATCAACAGTGATTCAGTTAAGTTCAGTCTTTTCAACGTATATAAAGGATAACGGTCAGCATCATGGATACTACAACATTTATATATATAAATGAAAATTGAATATTAACTCGTTATAGATTACCTACATTTAGATCCCTACTACAGTGACTGGTAATTGAATGTATGTGGCAATCTACAACCCCTACACGTGTTGAATTCTTAACGAAAATATGGATTAACAAAAGGATAATAATGTACAATTTCTATATACTGAGAATTAAAGTATTTTCTCAAATATCTAAATCTTATCTATCGGAAAAAATGTAGTCTAACACTCAGTGGATATTTCTGAAATGATAACTCATTAAAGTATAATGCATTTCTTTGCACAGAAATCTACTGATATGTGGAATGTAATTTGGAAAACTGATAAAACAAACTGACATAGAGTTCTGGATAATACATTCAGATTTATTGACGAATTATGCAAGACAGTCTTCGAGAATAATCTCCAAAATTTGAAAGTTTGGTAGATATTTTGTATTTCAACAAGGGATTCTTGTTTGAAAATTACGGGTATTCGTAGTTAGTTTAGCCCACGTTTGATGTCGCGGAATTGATCCATATCCGTATACTTGATTTTTTGCAACATTATACATGAGTATATATTTATGTAATGAATTAAGTATTCGTATTTACATATAAATAAGAATACGGTTGATAATCAAGCTTACGGTTTAACAGAAAAATCATAGCCCACAAGTGCTACAGCTTTTAATAGATATCCAATTGTTTGAATACTCTGTCTGATTATAATTGCTTCATTTGAATTTACTTGTAGTTGAAAAGTTATCGGCATGTAGACAAAGTCTTTAACGAATTTCACTCGAACTTCTACAATTGTACTAAAGTTTACTGTTGGTTGTGAATTTCGTGGTTCGACTTTTTCAATAGTAACTACAGGAGTTTTAGAGACCTAATTTCAAATAGTGTTTGGAAATGATAACAAAAAATAATTGATTGAATGCGAAATTGTGAGATTGATTACAATTTAAGTTTACATTTACATGCAGTTTATATTTGAGTTATAAGCATTCATCTGAAATGATTTGCATGGAATAATAAATGTTAGACGAACAGCATGACTGATTAATTTAGGTGTGATTTAAACGAAAAGTATTTGGGTAAGTAGGACATCCAGATTTGGTTGAAAATTACCAGGAGCTAACTTGGTGTAGTACTATATTTCATGCTGCATTTATAAAGCTGTGCAATTTAAACTGCTCCATGCTAAAACATTGATATTTTTGTATTTCAATTGCTGACGTCTGTAACCACTAATTGCTTCGGTATAAATCAACAATCACTAAGTCAAATATCGTAAAATAAACGGCCGTACCTTTTAATGCTAAACAAGAGATCTTGACTAAATCTGTACCTCTTTTAATTGGGTCAAAAATTTATTTCAGTGGAGCATATTAGTTCACGCTCAGTCAATTCAGTGACAGATGGATGGTGACTCGAAATTAGACTATGATACAAGAAATCGACGTGTATAGGAAAATGGTGGTTGATGTGATCTGGGATTCGATACCAAAATCAGTATACCTACAGAACAAAAGTGTTTCGACGTGACTTGCAATAGTTTGGATTATTCCGTTGTAGGTTTTCTGACTGAATTTAGACTAGTCATAGTTCATTTATGTGCATCCTATGCATATCATTTTGTTATTGTGATTAAGTCACAAATATTTTAGGCAGAGTTGGACAGTAGATATCAGTAGAATCCACGACTCTTCTTCATATTTGAACCGGTGTCCCATAGATTGGTAAAATATTCCCAGTATGACCCTGAAAAGAAGTATAGAGCTCTGAATGTTAAATAAACTTATCGATCACTAAGGTAGCATAGTAGACTTACAAATGAGTTTAAGCTTGCATATACGATTTCATATAAGCATTCCTGTACTCTAGTATTGTTGTTCATATGATGACTAGAACTCAGTACTTCGAACACGCAATGCGTCATCCACTTAGTGTCTGTGATCACATATGCATAATCGTCCTGGATTTTATTCTTATCTACTGTCCAACTCTGCTTAAAACACTTATGACTTAATCACAATATCGAAGTGATCTGGATGTGATGCACGTATACCACAAGAAAATGATCATTTGCTCTCCAACATATCAATGGAAGGTCCATGTAACAAATACAAATAAACTAGATCGATATTTAAAAAGATATTGATAGATCAGGTTTTATTTGTAGAATGTTGTTTAGATGCATTAGTAAATGAAAACATGAATCAAACTTACAGGAGTAGTGGTTATGGGTTGCTCCATAGACGTTATTGGAAGCGTTACAACAAAAGAACATACATTTAGTACAATACTAAACATCTGAAGCTGCACTTGCATTGTATCACCCAAGGTATAGCTGGCATCGTAAAATAATTTTAATCCGATTCGAAAATTGTAATTAATATTCCATGGGCCATTGTTTCTGAATATACCAATTGTCGTTGTGCCTGTTGTTCTTCGCCCTTGAAATACAGTGTATTCTGTTATTAGCCTGATCTGTAATGTAAGTGAAACAATCAAGTTAAAAATATAATGTCAAAACATTTACTAATATCGAATTCCTTGATGGTGACATGATAGTTCTTTGTTTATAAATATAAACGAAATCAATAGGATAACGTTTAACATCACTGAGTAAGAAAAATCTATACTTTATGCCCAACTTCGAGAGAAATATTATTGCTCAACTTCCAGCAATCAAACTAGCAAGAAGTAATACACACAAAACACTCCACACATATACGACATGTATTGTAATGACAAGATATTATACACTGTTCAGTCATGTGACATAAATTTTCGGGTCAAATCAATTATATGTACATAACTCAATGTAACTGATCCTGTGAAGATGGATACATGACGAAGTAAAGGATGGAATAAATCTATTGAAAATCCATTGCTGTTTCATATGATGAATACAGCACTCAATCAACAGCGTTCACCATCAGATAAATAGAACCAATGACTATTGCAAGGATTTTGCTTTTGCATTCAATAAGCATAGCGAGTCTACATTCAACTTTATCTGACTGTTGTAGTCAAATAATGGCAAGCCAGATAGATGTGTTATCAGGGAAAATATAAATAAAATCCAAATGTCTAATTCAATATTTATGAGGAAGTAGCTGTTATTCCACTGAATGTACTAATAAATGAGAATTTGATTAAACGTGTTTTTCCATTGGAATAATAATTTTAATAATCATTATTATTACGTAGTGCAGACAGACACATTTTAGTCTACACTATACTTTCCTATCAATTTCGGAAACTTTTATGCAAACCAAACACTCCAATGAGCTACTGATCAGTTCATCATTGGAGAAACATGGATCTATTCCCAAATATGTTGTATAAACATATACTCATTAAATTCAGATGTCAGAAATATTCGAGTGATAAACACCTAAGCATAGATGGGCGCGGTCGCCAGCATGTATTACATACAATAATAGAATGGGCAGACATGTCGAGTCATCTCAAAATTACACATAGGTGTAGAAGTTTCCGTTAGCAATTTCAAGTTACATGCAAATATAGAACGCATACGCCGCGCCACATACACTCTACCACAAAAAATATCGATTAGGATCAATGAATTCGTAATAAATATTAGACCTTCATCCTAAGTATTTTAACATCTTAAAAGTTATGTGCATACTAAATGCTCTATAATAGAACTTATTATCTGAATAATAACTTCAAAATAAGCATTCAGATACCATTGTTTAGCATGTTGTTATATTATTGTTATTATGTAACACACTAATTGATTTCGGGTTCATATTATCGAGCTGTATATTGTAAGTACTCAGTGCAACGAAAATGTCAAACAATGAATTGAAAATCGAGTGGATTATGTTTTTATTCAGTATGAAAATATAATAACTGACATATTCGATCCAGACTTTTTCATTCAAGAAGAAGTGGCAAAACTGAGGAAACTGGATTTCCAATTAAGTAGTTATTCTTTTTGTGAAGGTGAAAGGGATTGGAACAGTCATAAGATATGTTTCGAAGTGAACGACTTGATACTAAATACGTCTCATGACTTTATGCAGAAAACGCTGATATCACGGAATGCAGAATTGTCAAACAGTCCTTTTGGTGACCTTTGCATACATTGATATTTATCATAGTGAATTATTGATTGAAAAGTAAAAAAGCACATATGCTCAATGGTTGCATTGGAATAGTAAAATTCCATGTTGTACTTTCAAAATATCATTCTTGACTACTTCAATTAGTTCACTGAAGCGTTTTAGAAACCAATTCGAAAAGGATTAATGTTTTCGAGGTATTTTCTCTACAAACACCGCTTAACATTTCATAAATATTCAGTTCTTATATTTTACGGGAAATCATAATGTTACGAATTATGTTACGGTTCGACGGACAACCATGGCGACTTAATGATTACAAATAATCTGTGCATTGGATAGAATGACAGTGTACTGATCATATCGCAATAAGTAGAAAATCGAATTACTCGCGTTAATAAAAAACCTGAAAAAGGTGTTTCAATTATAAATGAGTTTGCATTTTCCCTACCACTTACTTGTTTATTGACTTGAGGTATCTCAATATCAAGTGGCAAGCAATATAAATGATTCAAATACAATCATGCCGGTGTCAATTATCAAGCATCAAAAATTCTACTGTTATTCGTGCTTTGAAATTATTGACAAAAGTTTGTTAAAGTAAACACGTAAAGTTTATCCTCCCTTATGAGAGTTTTTTAAAAACCAAGGAAAATGGAAACAATCATTATGATATTTTAAACTTACGTTCTTAGTTGAATTATTTTCTGTTAACAAGTAATCCACGGAACATGGTTCCGTCTTTAGTTTACCAGTAATAGTTATCAGGATAGTATAAGTCGCTGTTGCATAAGGTGGAACACTCAGTTCAACATTAAAGAATTGCAACTTTTCAGCTTGATTCACTACTGAGATGTCCTTTAATGTCAAGTTACTTTTCCCAGCCTATTCGTTAAAAAGAAGGTTAGCATGATTCGTACTGAAAATTTACCAAATTAGAACCTGTAAATGCTATGAGTTGGCTCTCACAAAAATTCACTGTAGAATTCTTACTTAATGGTGAGATTTTCGCTTCAAACTTAACGGATGCCAAACTTGGTTTATATATCTGGATAAAAACTGTTAGACGAGCTGATCGATTCATCATTGGCAAAGTAGTGTCATAAACACCTAAAATATATTTTAAATTAAATGTGAATATTTACATATGAATATAAAATATGAATTGCTCGTCCCAATAACTCGGAAAAGAAATATTCAAAGAAATATGAAAACAAGATCATTTTGTAAAAGGATGCTTGTCATTGGGACTTATGAGAGTAAATCGCGAAAGTTCCCTAATGAAATGTAATGGAAAATAATAGTTTATTTTTGCAGTTTTTTTTTAACACGACAGTTAGCTATTCATGAAAAAAATGAGCCCGATGAAAGCTAAAACATAGTCAACTAAACGTAATTATGTGCTTCATAGATGTAAGAGCTCTAATGGTGAGTAATGTTAGTAACCTTGAATATACTAAGGTCATTATCTTCCAGTCTGACTGAGAACACTGAGTGATGGCTGCAAGATATTAAGAATTGATTGAACGTTAGCATGTGAGCCACTGGATGTAAGCTAAGTGGTCTAGAGGTTAGATGTTTGCACGACACACCGAGGTTCCTGGTTCCTATTCACAACAGTGAAGTGGTGGATGCGTACTGGCGAGAAGTCTCAATTTAGAAAAAAAACTTAACTTTCCAGTGCTTCCTAATATTTAATAATTGTTCAGCGAAGATCAGTCTGTGATTCGGAAACACAAAAATCCTCACGATCCTCCTACATTAGTCAAGAATGATCGCAAACTTTCTAACAATACATCCATTCAACTATGCCAAGAAAAGAAGCACATTTTTTTTATCAAGGTTTGAGGGGTGAGAAATTTTTATTGTTACATCTTTTATCAGTCTACATATGGAAGGTCTTGTAAAATGAGAAACGAAGAGGTAAAAAATAACTTTCTTCACTGGTAATTTTTAAAATATTGCAAAACATGGGTTGTTTTGAACTGCATCGCATTCTTTTGCGATAGTAATTGACGGTTCAGTATGTCACAATGCATCTGTGTTCGATAGCCACCTACAGACCTTGTAACGACCGCTATATAGTCGGGGTTCAAGTCAAAATAAAGCAGTTTACCCAATTGAAATGAGCAATATTCCACCATCTTACTGTTGGTACTTCTCTTTGTGATATTCATCTGCAATTAGTAATTATTCTCGAAAGAGAAAATAACTAGTATATCTTTCATAAAACTTTCTATAGATCATAGACAGAATGGGTGTGTGTCACCTACTTATGATTTTGTAATTTAACCTACCCCAGTCAGTAACAAATTTATGAATGCAATTATATTAGGAACACTAAATATTCAGGGATGAAGAAACTATCGGCTGAGCAGTTGACCGTCTTTTAACGTCACTTTCCAAAAATAATGAATTTTATGTTATTGGACAATTTTTTACATAAAATTTCAAGACGTCTTGATGGTACTTTCAAAATGACCTAGACAGTAAATACGTGTTCAAAGTGGTTTCCTGGAAAACTGAAATCCTGTTCGTCTCACTCTTAGTTACCTTCTTTAGCAAACTAACTACCAAATCGAAATCACAGTTTTCTCTATTCCTTTGCTCTTACTTAAATCGAAGAATATTGTTCAGCTTATACTACTATATTTAATAGCAGCAAATGAACTATTGTAACTATGACTTATCAAAGATCTTTATTTCTCCTCTCCGAAAATATTTAAGACATTTCAAACTAAATTGAGAGATCTCTCGCTTCCTGTCGTAGTATCAAAATGAAAGAAATCATGTTTTTTGATTTATCTAACCAAAACTGTTTCTTTCTCGTTTCTAAGTGATTACCCTGAAAGTTATGCCAGCATCTATGTGAATAATAGCAACACTCTAAGCCTGACCTTTTTTCCGCAGTGGACATTGAATTGATACTGTGAACTTGGTTTGGATTGAAGCCTCAATAGGATAATGGATGCTCCCTGGAGTGAACTAAAATCGATTTAAATTAATATTTTACACACAGATTTGTAAGTTACTTTTCGAGTTAGTACTTAAATCGGTAAGTATGAAACCATTAAAATTAAAATATCTACTTGTCTATTTTGTTTGTTGTCAATAACACAAAATATTACAATCTTATTTACTGGATAGGATTCTGCTTAAGGTCTTTACAAGGTTACTTAAATTTTCCTGATAACTCTGAAACCATACTAGAAATGATAGTAAAAGCATACTTTATGGATGACTTTATAAAAACTGAACAGAATTTCCAGCCAGTTCTAAACTAATCAGAAAGCAGCTTTTAAAAATGAATAGTTTATGAAAAAAACGATGAGACTATAGTGTGAATAGATTCTAGGTAATTAATGATTATATTAATGTCTTCTACCTGTTGTTCCGCCTGCGAGTTGAAGAAACAGAGATATTACTTCAACCGTGTTGTTAGAGACTATCCGTTTTCGCTAATCTTTAAAATGACCCAAAACCAGTTCTCACATTATTTTTCGTTAGGGATAGAACATTTACGGTAATGGTTAGGGCTTTGGAGTTTTATTCACAAAATGACAAATTAAAATTCCTCTGTTGTCGTATGGTGTGAGTGAATTTCAGTCAAAAATACTGGAGTAAATATTTGATCAGTTCATTCATAAAATGTAGTTCCATTAGGTATGTGTTTGTTTTAGGATTAAAGATTTAAAGTTAGAACATATGGATAATGCCGATTTGCCTGTTAATTACAATCAAAGGAGACAGAAGTAGAATTTCGATACACTAAACACTTACGATTTTAATCTATATCTGCAAAAACTGAATTTTTGAGCAGTGCACAAAAGTATTTTCACTGCTTGTCACACATAGTATTTGAATTTCGTGCTGAAATCCCATTCTGATTGACTTGTCCCTAAAGTATACTTTTACTGAAACCATCGCCGTAATTACTTTTTGAATTGAGTTTTCCACATTACTCTCTTTCCATTTTCTGATTGACTTCCATCGCTCCTAGTTAGCTAAATTTCTATAGTCTTAACGGTCATCTTTTTGTTCCTATATTACAGAGATAAGTGAAATCATAACCTTGAACGGCGTATACTAGTGCGATTCACGAAAACCTCAACAAAACATACTATGAATATATTAGTTAATTTTTGTTCAGGAAATAAGTTGGACAAGAGATATTTGATTCCAGTAAACAGTTTAACGATAAGTGAAATGCACAAAAATTCTAAAAATAACAACAAAATAAAAAGTATCTTCGTTGGTCTAAACAAGTTAGTAACTATTTGATAGTGGTTGAATTCGACTATTGATCACAACCCGGTCAAACCATACTATTTTTTTCCATCAAATTTCACTATGACAATAGGAGACGGTTGTAAACTAGCGAAATCAGATATCAGGATTCTCGCAGTGTGAATAAGTCTATATTGATTCCACGATAAGCAGCGAAGAAGTACTATCGTGTATTTTTAAGCAGGATGATGACAACACATTTTAGAAATTCTCCTAATACAAGTTTAGAAGTTTTAAGACAAATCTATAAACAAATCCATTACAAAATAAAATAGTGTTACAAGTAGCAGGATTATTCAGAATTTAAATGCAATCACACAAAAGTAAATTTATCAGATAATGAAATGTATAACAATCTGCTAGCAGATATCATTTGGTTAGTAGCAACTGCTCTTCATTTATAAACTGATATACAATGTAGGTATGAACTCAATTATCAGGTCTCGATTTCATTGAGAGAACTGTGAAATCCGTATCATACAGGAGCTTATATTTGAAGTGACTTCTACACATGCTCATTTTTGTGGTCCATATTTTTATATGTAGACATTTAACTTTGCGAAAAACAAATCCTGTTCTTCTTTCCATTAGTATTGTCTTCACTTGGAGATTCGTGTCAATAGTCTGATCTCGTATTCAGCAAACACAGAGACTAAAGTAACAATACGTTTACCCATTGGTTCATTTGCAATTATAAACCGTGTATTGTTCATAAGATGATTACCAGTAAAATATATCTTAAAATCAATGATTTTTCGGAATACGACTTCTGGAAACAAATATTTTTATCCAACTTGAATAACAATGTATTCAGCCCCTACCATCTTCTTTATTCTTCTTAATCACTCCATCTTTATGCATATTCGATTGTTCACAACATCTCTTGTCATTTCAGTTCAGTAATTTATATCTTTGGTACGTGGAAACTGTCATACCATTACACTACAAGTGTCATAATTAATAGCTTTTCCAAGTAAAACAGCCGAACACTTTCCAATTTATGACTGGGCAAGACAGAATAAACACTGAGCTTATTCAAATTCATCATCAACAGTTGAGGGATTTGTCTATGCACAAATTTTGTCACCAAATAAATGTGGTTGTTAAGAGTTGATTAGTAACATCAGTTTGACGAGGCCATCATACTACCCGGTAAAAAAAGTGATTCATCGAAGAAATATTAACAGAATAATGCAAGTAGCAGAATAAGTGCCTAAAATCATATCATCCACTGCTCTAATGATATGCAGTATGAAAATTCGGTACTTGTGTAAATAAGTATCAGAAAATGGAAAGGCACTTGTTACTGTTTTGACAAGTGCATACTTAATTTCATAAACATACATACAGGAAAAGATGTAATATTTGGAAAATACAATATTTATGAGTACCACGTTTTGAGTATCGTGGTTAGTTGTGAAACATCAGGTACTTAGTGTTATAAAACACAGCTAGACTGAACAAAACTGTTAATATATGATACAGTTAACAATATACATGGTTTATACTGAAACAGAGTGTTTAACGTTAGAAATCATTGTACGGTGAACTTACCTGGATTTTGTAGATTTGAAACACTAACGTAGCCAATGGTAGTCAGTACGAAGTTATCACCAACGAATTGTTGCGTATTTATTCTGTAACCTTCTGGGTATGTAGAGAATGTTGTAGGTAGCGTCAAAGATATATGTCCAATCGAAGCACTAAACTCATCAGTAGTGAATGTGAACTATCAAACAATTTATTAGGAAACAACAGTAAGTATTTTTCTGTACGTGTCTTTAAGGAAATAATTACGTTCAGTTTTGTATTGGGTGAACATACAAAAGTAAAGTGTTTATATACAGATATATCTAATCAATTTCCTACAACATTATGGTGGATATTTAAATGTACCCTATTAATTTTGTCTGAACAAGTTAGTACAACGTTGTTATTGACAAATGGCCATCTCAGTTGTTGTAGAAGTTCTCTCGTTATCATATCGAATAATTACCTTGTTCGTATTGTATTGGTTAGTTAAAAATTAGCTACACTTTATTTGTTAAAGTAATTAGTAGTCTGTGAAACAGTGATCTGGTATATTTAACAAAATTCATGTTATGAAATTGAATACTATTCAGCAGGTCAAATACTTAGAAAAATTGTGGTTGATATGAATATTGATATTAAAGAGAAATAGTGATAGCATTTCAGCTAAAACAACACACTGTCAATACTAAAACTTGTCCCTATACAAATGAGAATATAATCATCAGAATAATAAGTCTAGCAACTTCATTTCGTTCTATTTGGTCGATTATTCAACGTACTTCAAGTTTTTAAATGTTATATAATCTATGATTTTGATTTGTGGCTGTACGATGTGAGATGATAAACCTTAATAGAGTTTTATTTTATTCACCTGTCCTTCTTTAAAACGGATCTTGTTTTTTCAAAAGAGTGGTTGATTATTCTTATATTTCTTCTAATGATTTAAAGGTTTATAAATGTATTCCAATATCATATCAGAATTTATCGGAATTTAATGAAAAACACTGAACGACATTCAGTGTATTTGTTGAGTGTGGTAAAGATAGAGGTGATGATTATAACATACTTGAATGTTGTTGATCTTGACAAATGATCTTGATTTAATTTATATGGTGTTTAATCCACGTAATTCATCTCACTTATTTACAGTGTCAGCTGAATCATTATATTCTTAAGAAGAGTAACTGAATAAGATCAGATTTTCACAGACATCTGACTATCAGGTTTTTACTATTTTGCAGCATCTGTACTCCTCTAGCTGATATTCTCTGGAGTAATTGTCATCAAAACCTGACACCTTTTCTATTTAGTTTGTAACTTTGATGTGTTCATCAGGACCCGGTATGTTTTAATAGCCGCGTCTAGTTCTACTGAATTTACCATCACCATTAGATTACAGATTTTTGTACGAAAACTAACCAATAATAATTATTATTTGAAAGAGCGAACTAAATATATGTATAATCTGTACTGAAGATTGAATCATAAGTGTTATTGGTCACCAAATGAAATTTATCGTATTAGCGAAATCTGAGAGGAGGAAACAAACAGTTTTGATTACTGAATTTCGTGAACAATTTTTTTACTGTTAGTTGGGATCTGGATTATTATGATTGTAGTGTCAGTCATTATTTTAAGCCCATCTATCTTATTCTAGCTTTCGGACATTCCATTCTATTCATTCTACTTGAGTCATATTTTGACCATCTCCACCCTGCGTCGCTTCCCTTCCTTCTATTCCATTCACCTCATATACAAAATATATGTATTCAAAATCCCATTCCCGTTATTTGACTTATTTAATTCCGTTATTGGATAACGTGATTTAAGTCGACGATTACATACGAGAATAGACGATAACAAACATTTATACGATCTAAATAGGAGTCAGATCCACGGGCCACTAAATGATAACGAATTAGTGGTAAATTTAGGTAGGATACTGACTGTCAGCAATGGCCAATTTTGTAAGGGAGAGGTTTTAATGTAGTTACGCATATAAAAGCAAGTCTAGGTGATCGTTAAATAAATTCGTTACATGCCTTGTCTCCGAACGATGAACATCCTTTTGATCCTCAAAAGACAATAATATGCATTCATCTAGCTGTTGAAATGTCTCGTGACATAAAGCTTCAAATAATTTCTATTGATGATGTACAAATTAATTTTTCGCAATGAGTCACGTCATAGTATGCAACAGTTAAGTAAATTGTTCAAGTATCATACTTATCACTCACCACATAATCGCCAATGGGTCTGCTTATAAAGTAGTCCACAGAATATTCATAAACCCCACCTACTTCCACTATCGGTGGGCACTTGGTAAAGTTAACTGAATCATATTGAATCGGACAGTTCGAGGAAACACTCATGGGAATATCTACGATAATCTTTGGAGTCAACAATGCCTCCATTCTGACTGTTAAATTGGTACCTATTGGTGGAATCGACATTTGAGGAAAAAGACCAACTTGGAATCGCATCCTAGTACTGAAGTCATTTGAATCATTGGCAGGAGCGGATGAAACACTTATCTGACTTGTCATTGTGAACTCCGAAGACTACGGAAAACAATTAACAAAAATGGATTAAGGGCTGGAATTCTCAGGAAATTCTTCATTTTTATATCTATCATTTGGCACCAAAAATATGAGTTAATATCAACTTACGAAGATATACTACTGCAATTTCAAACCAGTTTAGACCTATTCACAGAACCGATTTTAAGCAATGTTGAGTCATTTAATGTGACATCTTTTATCATATATTTCCTCAAGTTTGTAGATTGACTACAATTATTTGGTATATCAACTCATCTATAAACAAAATCTAATTTATAGAATAAAACAAAGCAAATATAGAAAATCAGAAATTCTATCTATTACTGCTCCTTAAAATATGAACCTCACAAAGATGTTTCTACATCTTATCTGATCCTTTCTGCTTTAGTTCTTGAATTTCCTCCTCCTTCGTCTCACTAGAACTTTTACTCAGTGATGACTATAGTCTTATATTACAGTGTTTTCTTCTAATCTTGTCAGTTATTCTGTTCTATTTACACTCACTTTTCAAACTCATATTCATAATGGAACTTTGTATTCAGGTTTTCGATAGGTTGTTAAGATATGGAGATTATTGGATGAGACGTAAATCAGGAAGGTTTTTTAAGCGAAACTGAATTAAATTTTATACAAATTAAATATCCATTGTTATGAATCTTCATAATCTCACTGTGAGTATTTAAAAGTTGGTTTTAACTATTTAAAAACTTTTATTCTTTCGAGTACATAATCAGCATCATCTGGTATTTTGAATACTTTTATATGAAACAGAACTTTGATATTTACTCTCAATCTTCAGTGAAATGTGGAATATGTCCTTGCACATATTGGTGTACTTTCCATAGTAACTTTTACCTAGTACAATATTTTTAATTACAATGTAAGATATATTGAAGGCCAGGAGAAAGAGATTAGACGATATATCAGCTTCATGAGAGACTGTTAACTAAGGGTTATACCTATACACATAGCGAATTCAGAAAACCTGATTGTGTCTACATAATTTAATTCAAATTATCTAGGGATTTCTCATTTTTATACACATTTAATGCTTGTTAGACGAAGTGTATTTTACTGTTAGTAAACATGAATCAAACTTATTTGTTTACTATGTTTCCATGAGAAACTTTTATGTACATAACCATGTGCTTTAGAAACCTACTACATATGCTTCATTATTTGCTGAATTGTAGTATCAATGAATATCCACAACCCTGAGACTTTCACACAGTTTTCATCAAATCACAACGAACAACCTCTAGTGACAGGAATCAAGCGGAGTCATATGTATATTTACTTGTACATTCCCTGTTACACATACATTTACAATCTCTAACAGAAAATGCTGTAAACAGTAAAATTAATCAAACTACATTCATATCCTTACCGAGGAATAATTGTTCAAGTATGTGAGATTACTAAACTTCACAGGATAATTATTTACTATATTTGAACCGTTGTAGTAAGCAAACAAATATTGTATATATCCGTAATAGACATTATTTAGAGACGGACCAGAAAATTTCATGATCAAACTATTATTTCCAGGTGGAAGGAAAATTACCGAATCAATAAACCATGTATCGAATAGACAATAATTTGGATTATCTTGGATGTATACTCTGGAAAATGTGACATTGATAGTATTCGGTGGAAGTATGACGCCCTATAAAGAAGAAAAATTGACATTACTCATCTGAAAACCTCAAATCAATTATTTTGGATAGTACATATCGTGGTTCTATATCTTACTATGCACATTTGCTGAATCGTATCACAACGTCCTGATGAAAACACTATTTTATTTCATTAACATCGGAATTATTAAATCGAGTTCATTAATGAATGAAGGTTGCAATCTGAAACACCACATTGTTTTGTAGGATAAGTGACTGTGAAATACATACGAATTCAAAGACGATTATGCCTACTTATAATTCTTATTACTACCATTATTTTAAATAGTTTTCATACTTATAAGTTAGCATTTTTGACAAAAATAATTATTCGTAGCGTTTTATGAGAGTTTGACGTTCATCTGAATTGTAGGTTGTCTCCAGTGGTAGCATACCACTAATCGTGTTGATATTCTGCTGTTGTTGTTGTTGATGTTGTTTGAACATCAAGGCTCAGAACTATGAGATAAGATTTGAAGAACCTTTGATCATATTGCTGTGCTTGTTTCAAAGAAACAGGTTACTACAGTGTCAACTGAAACAAGCCATGAATCTCTTTCAGTGACAGCTTACCAATTGTGAAATCAATGACAAAAACTGCAGTTTAATTTTCAAAAAATACTACAATAAACAGAGATCATACCCTCTTGACTGCAGTGATTTCACTTCCTGTTTCTTCTTCAGAATAATTTTTATCAATTAAAATGTTGACCGTTGCATTATCAGATATATTTAGTGAAGTATTTGCATTCCTAACTGTCACTTGAAAAGTGATGGTGTGATTATTCTTCATTGTTTCATAATCACTTTCAATTACCTTCAAAATACCAGTTGTTCCATCGATAGCTACTGGTAAGTAGTTTGAACCAGGTACAATGTTAAATTGAACACTTCCACATGATGCTAAGGAGGAGTTTTCATCACTCAGAGAAAGACTACCAATCAGACTTCCATTGATCCAGTTAGAAAACTTGGTTTCGAAGGTGAATACTGTCTGAGTGAATTTTGGAATTCTATGTACTAAAATGGTAAGCATATAATCTTTACAAAGTTAATATTTCACAGTACATATGTAAATGAGAAATGAGTTATGAATCATGGAATGGACAATATTTCTTCAACTGTAACCAATGCACAATACAAATGATTGAGCGTTTTTACAAATAGATGAATCAATTCATGAAGAAATTTTGTTTAAGTTAACCAATTGACGATTTTCCAAGATTTCTTATAACAAGATGCGAAGTAAATTTGACTACAAGCTTATCAAGAAATGTGAATTATTATCCATTCAGTGTAATGTTTATTTCTTATACAAGTAATGTAGTTAATGAAGAACTCAGGTGTGGAAGACAAATTTATTGTTCAATGCAAAATTACAGAGCTTTTCCATAAAATGTGAAAACCATACATTGAACACTTCATTTTCAAATCCTACATCACTTATCCTTACATCATTCATGATTCATCCATCTCTCAATCCCTTCATGCTTCCCCATTCTGTTTTATTCAGTGCTATTTTCTCAAGCTTCTTTTGACGGGCATCCAATTTCTGATTGGTCTATATACTACTTATGTCAACAGGTTAAAGTAGAATACACCTTATGAGCTAGAGATAAGAGTCTTTACCATCATCTCGAAAAAGAAAAGGATAGAATGTAACCAAATGTTTATAAAACCGAACAGAAAATTATCTTGTTATTAGTAATATTGACTAGTTAAACCATAAATGACTGACTTACCTCGTTCTTCACAGGTTTTCCCGATCCAACATGTAATACATACACACGTTCCATTAATGCAGTGACCATTAACACAGTTCCTAGTCAAAAAGATTGTGTATTGCGATCTTATACACACCAGTAATTTAGAATTTGTACATAAGTGAAATTTGTTATGGATGTTTCATTAACTTTAGTTTTAGTGCGTGAAACCGACTTGCGAAGAAAAACATTTTTATGTTAATAAAAATCAGTTATTTGCGTCTGAAGATGTGATAACAAGGTGTATACTTAGTACAACAAACTTTTTTCGATACATTAGCTAAATATATTGGAATTTGTACTATTTGGATATGACCTGGTCATCCCAAAATCGTAATTTAATGAATATCTCTGTACAGTTTAGTACTTCTACAAGTTTCTCCATCTTGCAAAGGTGGTAAATCGAAACTAAGAGTAAAGAGCTTTGAATATGATTTCAATACGAAATCGCTGACTTTAGTTTCTACACAATCAACAACAGATGACTAAGATCTACGGTTTGTTCATTCAGTTCAACCACAAACGAAACCGAAAATAATGCCAATAATTAGCCCGAAATTCTTGAGAATTGTGCTCAGCTTACTTTTAACTATCATTCTTATACACTATTGATGTGATATTCCAAACAAACAGAAGCGTCAGCAAACATGCTTATATCAAGATAACGCATTAGCATTAATGGCTGACTAAAGATCAACTAAGTTTCACCCTTATTTTAGACAGTCTAAATATTTTAAATTGCTTTTCGTATATTACTGGACAGTTTTCGCACTTACCAAAAATATTGAAAGTATTAAAATCGACATTCAGTGAAACTATGGATAAACTATTTCGAGAAACTTTATCTTCAGCACTGTCTTTCATTGAACGTTATGTAGAAAGTTATATCATTCAACTGAAATGTCTCCAGGCCAATACTCTTAATTAGTTTAGAACCGTCATTTAAACTAATTAAGTCGAGATGTGTTTAGTAGTTATGATTACTTTCATCTTTTCTATGGGCTTTCTATGTGTTAGCTTCTAGAGGTGATCCTTTCTTCATTTGATTGGTTATCAATTAGTTGTCTGTCTTTAGGCTCAGTTACTGGTTTAAATAGACTGAGAATATGTTTATGGTTAGTTTGCACAGTAATCATTTGTAATTTAGTTCATGTATATCGAATGGTAGAACGAACGTGTTTGGAACGTAGTATTGATACAGAAGATTGAAGATATTGCTCTACTAATTGTATGTAGCATAGTTTAATTTGACTGTGATTATAGTTGACCGCTTCCTCTATCGTTTTTGTCATATTAGTTGAATTGGCTTAGTGATTGTGAACTCTAGACATAAATAGTTAATAACTGATGTCTATGCTATATACCACAAGTGAAATAAATGTCTTGTCACGGCTCAGTACAAACAATTATACCACATTTTGTGTTACTTATGCATCTATATCACACAGAAATTTGTTAGGTGGTTGAGGATAGTCGATAGGAAACGCTGGTTGTGTATTATTCGGGGCCTGCTAGCAGCTAAGTAAACCATAGATTTAGGTCACCACTAAGAACTAAACATACATGTTATTAACGATTATTCTGTAACCAATCAGTGTAAGCAGATGACTACAAATGAACACTATTAACAAGAAAGTAATGATACATAACTGATGTCGACTGAATACATTTTGTCACTTATCTTCTGATTCCTGTTTATTAACAAACCTCTAATCAACCAAAGACACCTAAAGATAATCATATAAATATTTATTACCATCACTACGATGATGATAAACCATTAATATTCTTTCGACAAACTTACGATGAATTATTTCCACACAATTTTGTGGATTGTTCAAATGATCCATGAACTACTGAATGCAATATATTAGTTTAAACCTAAACAATCATTCATCAACTTACAAACAGTATGAATCAGTATAATGATCAAATCTGTTGGAATTCTTTGATAGACGATCATTATGTATGAATGTGAAAATGTAAGTAAAACGAAGGTGATGATGATGATGATGATGAAATTTTGGGTTAAACTTTATTTAAAATATTTTCGGATGATTTAACTAATTTCAGTCAGTAGCTAAATTAATTTCAAGTAAACCTGAATTCATTTAAATAGTTGCAAAATATGTAGTCGTTTCAGCCAATCAGAATGCAGTCACTGAATTTTGGGTAGTTGCACCTATTTATTCTAATCCCTAATAACAAACGAAACCTGATGCCAATCCACATATTTGTCATATGAATGAATTTTTGAACAACAAAAAACTTGAACACTCCAATAGCAACAATTATTCCTACATACTCTTATACTGACCAAAAACATGAAGATGATTAACAAGTCTTTAGTATTTGGGTTGATAGTGAGTTGAAAGTATGAAGTGAACCTGGGACGAAACTGTAGTGAATTGTACTACATGCAAAGTTGTCCTTAAGGTAAGTGAAAAAAACTAACACTTTGGTAACCAGGTGACTGAAAAAAACATTGTTTTAGGTTGGCCTGATAAGTGAACAATACAAAATGGTGTTCTATAATAGGTCGTTGATATCTTGTTTTATTTAATACATCAATTGCCCTTTACTGAAACAATTCATATCTGTCATATTGTAATAAAGCATTGATATAATTTAGCCTGCAGATAAATTAAGGATAACAAATTGAATGAATATAAGACACCGGTATTTAAGCTTTTCTATTGTCTATCTGGAATGCTTCAGTGAATAAAGTTTCTTTCACTAATATTTCCATTGTTTATTACGTTACGGAGAAATAGTAATTGAAGTGAATTAACTCTCCGTGTCACACCTTAGAATTGTTTGTAATAAATAACTACAATAAGGAACAAGAATTAAGGTGATCTACCACCATGTTAAACTCACCCTTTATAATAGTGTGGTTAAAACTGTTGGTTGCTTTTATTAATTCAACTGAAAAATGTATTTATATGTTGGATTAATTACAGTCAATTAGTTCCCACTGTTTCATTCCGAGTTTGAATTTCTCAGATGCACCAATGTAGTTCAACTAAGAGAAATGTTTTCCAGTCAAAGGTGTTGCCATCACATGTCTCATTGAAAACACTAAGTAGTGAAACAACAGTTTGCACTCTTGCTCAGTTTGAGTTACTGGATATAACATAGATGACCACAATTCTGTGAAATAGGAGTAGAAAATGATTATAAAGATCAAGCTATGTTTAGCACTGCATTTGTGAAAATATTTAGACAAATTTATGTGGATTTCCCCAGTAAGAAATGGTCACGAAATAGGTGACGACAAAATTCTCGACCATCATAGCTTTCTGATACGCCACTTGTCTCATAAAGACGTGATTTGTAAGAACAAACAAACAGCTAAATATTACTTACAAAATTAATTGACAATAGGAAAAACACAACCCGACCTCCGAAAGCATGTGATCTGGTGACATTGCTGACAAATCACTGTCAAACATCTGAAACACGTTCAATTAGATGTGTATGATTTTCTACTGTCAAATCTCATTTTCGGATTTAGCAGTTCAGAAGTCCACATTATCTAGGGATTTTAGACTGTACATCTTAATCTCAATCTAGATATTTTGTTTCTTTCTATTTATCATTTTATCTGCACATAGTCAGGACTACTTATCTAGGCAGTAGAACGGAAATTTCATAAACTACAAAATTGTATTTTATAGAATCCAACACCTGAGTAGTACTGATTAATCCTAACGTTTCCAATCACAATAATCTAAAAGCTAATCAAAATCCGATTTACAATTTCACACTAAGTAGCATTGACTCTCCGCACTTACATATTTTGGAATACGACTATACTATTAGAAACAGAAAAACTTCATTGTCAAACACTGTTCAGATAGAACTCACACTCGTAGATAAATCACCTGAACACACACGAAAATGGAAAGTTTTGGGGGATGTTTGTGTTATTAATGAAGACATGTATTAGCATAATCCATTGTGTTAACTTCCACTTCAGGTCTGATAGTTATATGATAGTGAAATGTCTAAATAGATAGGATTAGTTATGTCATAACCACACCAACTGCCAAAACCCATAGATCTATTGTACGTTTACAGTTTTACTATTTTCATGAGAAGTCCCTAATTCGTTCTTATAATAAATTATCTGATGGAATTTTAATAGCAAACTGATTTGAAGCTAACTTAATAAAACAATGAAATCCATAATACTACATTCCACTAAACTCCGCCTGTAGTTGTCCTAGAGTTACCGCCGCTCCCAAGCCTGAGTAAGGGAGGAGGGTTGGGGATGGGGTCGGCAACCCTATCTTATAGAAAAATGTCATGCTAAAAAGCGCCAACCAGATTCAACAAATTAAACTATTCCCTGTGATTTGAAGGAAGACTTATGACGCCTAATGACGAATGAGGATATGTGTTAACACAATCCATTGTGTTAACTTTCACTTCAGGTCTGACAGTTATATGACAGTGAAATGCCAAAATGGATAGGATTACTTATGTAGTAAAAACTTTCAATTCATTTGAAGACTTACATGACTTTTAAATATTCTGTTAGTCATAACATTTCAGAACTTGTTTTTTTACTATTGATTGTTAATAAACGAACTCCCATATGAATTATGAAGATTGGATAATACGTTGTGATCAGAAACACATACTGGATAGTATATTTTAAAATGTATATTTTCATATGTGTTACTTATTCACGCCTGTTACCCCTGACCATGAAGTTCATAATTCCACTTAACGTAAACCTGATTCAAGTTAACATTGCAAACTAGTCATCAAAACACCAAATTTTGTACAACAATCCTAAATTCACATGCTATGACTTTGAACGATGTACATTGCCGTAAATCTGGTGTTGAGTATGTTTTCTATTCTCCGTCCATATTCACTTCTCTCCGACTCTTTTGCATATTGTTTTATACTACTTATTTATATTCAGTAAATAGTAGTATTCCTAGTAGTTCTCACACATATGTTGTATCGTAAGTTTGTCCTGTAAGATTCTGAGATGTTTACATATACTTATAACATCTATTGCTTTTATCATCATAATTACTTTATCTCAACCATTGTAACAGTTATCCACGATTTTGTACATTTGCTTAACCCTTGTTTAAACGCAACGGTTTCCACATTGTTTGCACTTGGTTCGTTTTTGCTTGTTGATAAACTGTTACCAAGTTTAGACGCAGCTAACAGCTGTCTTTTGCACTATCGAAGCCATTTCTTATTTCATACAAAAGGACATGGTAAACGCAGTAGACACCTCATAAGTTGAGATTTGTAACTTAGTTTTGTATATTATTCAACAAAGAATCGCCATTTTAGACAAATCGTTGAATCTCCATTGGATGAATTGGACGCTTTGATAGAACTAACACCTGGCCAGTTTTCGCATTAATAACTGGCATTTATTCATTGAATATTCTCCATTCATACATTAGTCTTTTAATATGACGGGGATTTTTAAACAATATGCAAAGTACATTTTATCATAAGCTTTCACAATCTCATAATGGGTTGAAAACACCTAACACCTTTTCGTTTTTGTCCACACATTCAACATCAACCAGTATTTGTGCGTTTTGTCATAGTTATATGTTGCATAGGAAACCATGGTGGATGTGTGAGTGAGAAACTGATTTCAACAGAAAAAGTCTTGCTAGAACCTATTGTAAAATTTGTATTTTCCTTCTCTTAACCATCCATCTGTAACTTCTTCAAAATATATAGCTATTTCAGATCAATTCGTGTTTTATAGCTTTGATAAAGCTGATTTTAATCCAGAAGTAGTTTTCCTAGATTTATCAGTCTGTCAGAGATTACGAGATACGGTTTGTTACATTCTCGTCGCCTATCACTTATACTTAAAACGAGGAACCACTACAATTCAAACGCCGTAAAATAGGAACAAAACCGACTGGGACGAGTGAAGATCCATTCACTCGAAAAGACGATAAACAAAGTCGGAAATACCCGCACTAGCATATTTATTTGTAAATCAATTAGATTATTGATTACAAAATAGCCACATATGAAAAATGCCCAGAATCATGACAAATACTGCACCGACTAATCACCATACTAAATTAGAAACAGAAGTAATGTTGAATAGAATTCACAATGAGTGGTAAATGTAATTTTGTCTTCTTATGCCATCATATCACGGTTTGCACATATTTTATACGCAATAAACACTTCCTTCGCGTTTTTCGATTGTAGAATTGAATGAAATATGTCTTGCACCAAAGTACAAAAACGTTTCTATATTCTAGCTGGTAATTCATAAATCATGCACACCTAAACTGCCTTCATTTATTTCAACGAGATTTTTTTTATTAAAACCGAAAACTTCCTTAAACTATGAGAGAGCACGACTAAACCTTAGACTGACTATCTTTAGATCTTTGAGAAGTCCAGTACCTCAAGAATCAGCGCTTGTATAAATGCTCTCTCATGTGTATGTATATATAAATATATATACAAAGACCAGATTTGTTTTTATTCAGGGAATAAGACTTGCAATATATGCTGTTTAAATGTCTAGTTACCAAAAGAGCTTTCGATAGGAAAGATCATTTATCTCCGAATATTGGATATTCGAAATTCATAGTCAAACCGCAATCCAATATATTTCGTTCTAAGCTCACACCAAAAGCTTCGAAATGAAAGTTCTGTCATCTTAGACATAGAAGGTTCCATCAGATCTAATTATTATTCTAAGTTCTTACTTTGAGTTTGTGAGCAATTTAGTTTCTTACGCTTCCAAGGGACGAGTTGGCTCTTACGGTCTCTATTCGTCCAAACTAATTATTCTTTTAAATGGATACACAAACTAATTGATCGAAAGCTTCCCATACTCCATATTCTATTTCAGAAATCGTCGAAAATGTGAGAAGTTAACATGCATTCATAACCAAATTTCATAACTGCGGAGAGTCTCATTCTTCACAAAGAGTGGAA